TGAGCATGCTCTTTAAAAATTAATGGGGGTAAAAAAACAACAATATTTGTTAAGTTTTTCACTATGACTTTCCTTGCTGAACAGCAACACTGTTCGGAAAACTTGAAGCGTTTATTTATAAAAGTAAACATCATCACATGAACATTCAAAACCTGTTTTCACACCACAAACATTGTCGTGCAATGATAAAAGCCCTTTAAAAACTTAAGAAATGCACAGTTAATTAACAACATGATTTTTTACAGTGCCTTTTCTTCTGCTTGGTACGTGACGTACTTTCGTTTTGTTGTTTTCTCACAGTGGACCAATTGGACGGAGATGCGACAAATGTGCGGATCGTGAACCACCACGCGAGGAGACCTGTGGAGGGAGTCGGGCCCACGACCAAGGACGGTTTACCCACTGTACTTCGCTCGGTAAGTCCGAGAGAGAGAGAGAGAGAGAGAGAGAAGTAGTGCAACATTAGAGGGAGGAGGATGTTAGGGGGAGGGGTGTATGTTTTACTTTGACAGCGGTTCAGAGAGTGGTTCAGTGTGTGCTCACCCGTTTGCTTTCGCATGCTGCTATCAAAGGATGAGGACGAGGACGACGACGACGAGGTAAGACCTGCCCTTTCAAGAGAGAGAGAGAGAGCGTTGTAACCTGTAGGTCCTTTTCTTTGAGGCCAGGCCTGGGTACTCATAACGCCCCGATCACACCTTAATCTGGCGCAAAACATTTTTCGAATTCCTTTGAACACTGTGAATGTGAAACTTTGGCGTCAGATGTTTTGCATTTACTTTTACAAAACTTAAACAAATTAATGTGTTGTCTGTTTTCTTTTCTCGCAGGAGGTGCGGGATGACAACAAGGAGCGCTGGTACAAGCGCATGTACGACCAGCTGCACAAGATAAAGCAGGACGGTAAGTTTACGCTCTCTAAAGTGTAAAATTTGCACTCTTTGCGCAAATTAAATTTTATTCGCTCACACGCAAAACTCCCGTGTGTGGTGGTTGTGGGTAGCTTTTCGGTCGTATTTGACGCTGCTGACTGTCACGCACCGACGCATGTGCGTTTGTTTCGTTCGAACTCCTAGGATCTCCCCTATCGCCTTGAATTCTTTCTTCCCCGCAATCCGCGACGGTTATATTCTTTTCATTTTAATCAGCTGCTTGATTAGAGTTGCATAGCGGCGCAGTAGAGGCAGTATAATGATGGCAGTCCACTGTAAAACATTTCTCGTTAAGTTACGACATTTCTCGTAATTTGGAATTACAAAATAATGTTGTAAACTAACGGCGGACCATTTTTGCTTCTCGATTAATTCTAAGTCGATAGGAAGTTATTGTAATTTTGTAATCTTACAACTTCAAGTTGTAACTTTACGGACTCACATCAGGGAAAATTTTGCTGCAAACTTCCGAGTATTTTTCACAGTGTCTGCATTATTGCGAACGCTGCAGCCGAAACCCCTCACCTTGCTGCTCTTCTTCGTATATTTGCTCGGTTTGAATGTTGATGAGAGGTTGGGGTGGGGGTTGACGCCGGTGGTGCTGGTGGCGGCCCCCATAGCAGCACTGCCCACGAAGC